TGTGTGCTGTTTATCATATAACACTAGACTAATGATTATAGATTCTGAATGGTTCATAATTAAGGATTGTCAAGTTTCTACAAGTCTCATCAAGTTGGTTTTCGTGACACACTGAAATATATTCATCCAAATGGCTGCATGTTACCATTAAAACTCACTTAGGAAACACACAGTACTGGTTTCAAAAGGCAAACTGTAGTCAGCGGTGTTGTAAAGTATGCAAAAACCACCAGGTTACGTTTCTTTCATTTTAGAAACTTCACAACTGTTGAATTTTGCAGATGTTTATTATATGAAAAAAATGCGTCAGAAATAAGTTTCCCCCTCATTTTTATGAAGAAAGACAGGAGAGCTCTTTTAACTGACATGTTGAGGGTGGGGTGACACGCTGGCAGTAACTGGCTACTTCTGACCCCTCCACCCATCCATGGCATGCTCACAACTCTGTAAGATGTGAATGGGTGTGTGCAAATATGTGTGTAGTATAGAAGGGTACACACTTATACACAACTTCCACTATCTCATTAGTTTGATCAAACTTTGTTTCCGCATAGTTAATCATTGCCTACAGCTCTCTGTTTTAAACACACACACACCCACACACACACACACACACACACACACACACACACACACACACAACACACACACACACACACACACACACACACACACACACACACACACACACACACACACACACACACACACACACACACACACACACACACACACACACACACACACACACACACACACACACACACACACAGGCAGACTTTGTATTCAAGGGCCCTTCCTGCCGATGCCCTGCCCAGGAATGTACAGCTGACCCTGCTCTCACTTCTACAGCCCAGCTGATCCTGGACACACACACACACACACACACACACACACACACACACACACACACACACACACACACACACACACACACACACACACACACACACACACACACACACACACACACACACACACACACACACACACACACACACACACACACACACACACACACACACACACACACACACACACACACACACACACACACACACACACACACACCATGGAGCATGCTCAGTTCTGGGATGCAATGCGCTTCTATCAGTTAACTACATTTCCAATAATGCACAGCGTTAAGTGTGACGGGAGAAAATTGATTTCCAATCCCACAGCTTCAAAAACAGTTATCTGGGTCGAAGGTTGAAGTAAAAACAGAAAGTAAGTAAGACCTTTGTGAGTTTTTCTACACATTCAGCAAACAATAAAACAATTATATACTAAAAGTGACTCTGTGATCCATCATATCCATCTAATCTGCTGTTATTGTATAATATTACACTGATTTATTGTGTCTAAAGAGACAAGTTGCACCACATATTTCAAAATAATAACCCACAATATTAGCAGAGAGTAAATGAATGTCTGATTTTCCATTATCGGCTGACTGGTGTTGGTGTACCATTAAAGTGTAATTTACTGCGTTCATAAACAATAATCAGCTCTTCAAGGGCCACATTTCTCCAGTACACATTAAGTGATGTGTTTTATGTTAGTGGTTTTATAGAAACTAGAACTGTCAACTCAAAAGAAGATGTCACAGTAAAGGTCTTTTGATAGACCTGAGGATAATAACACACGAATGAACCAAAAATAGAGGGAACACCAACCAAAAAGAACGGCTACAACCAAAATATGTTTTTCCGGCACTTCAGTTCACTCTTGCGAACAAACATGAACTTTAACTGATTTTCAGTAACGTTTAACAAGCTTGAAATTGAACTAGTTCAGCCTCTTTGAGTTTGAAATACTTTTTTCCAATCATGCTACTTTGAGTTTCGGTCTTAAATGTGTTTTAGCTTAAATGTCTGCATTATTAGCAAAGATAGACGTGGGGAAAAGTGACATTATAATAAAGCCAGTGCTCTGCTTTTAAACATTCTTATTGTGTCTAAGTCCTGAGGATAAGGTTTTGTAATTCCTGCACTTTATTGGTCAAACAAGTTCCTATGACTCAGCTATTGTTGTTTATGAGTTACTGACATAAATGTCCCTTCCACAGTATATCTAATGGATTAATTGAGGCTAATTATATCTGTGCAGAGGGTTCAACACCTCACAGTTTATTGCAGGCTGAAAGCTACTTACTGTGATTACTAACTTTTAAAGCAGCAGCGTTAAAGACCGTCTTCAGTCACAAGGCTACAGACGGATCTATTGGTTTCCACTTTCAGTAAAAAGGCCTTCATTGATCAGAGCAGTCACATGTTTGCCCCGGAGCCCAAAGTGCTTTGACCCTTCAGACAGACTTTAAAGTAGAGACAAACACGGTGAGGCTAATTAGCTGTGCTAATCCACCTTCACCTGGAGGCTAGGCTGCTCTACTGCAGCTCGGTGGGAAACAGTGAAAGTTAGGAGGAAAAATGTCATGTTGAGAAGACAAGCATTCTTGTAATAGTCTCCACCAAAGAAGTCACTTTTTCCGCTTCAGTTTGTGGACTTATAATAATAATAATAATAATCCTTATATTTATTATAGCGCTTTAACAATGAATCTCAAAGCGCTTTACAAATACACATTACAAACGCACAGACCACTGTGCCACCCGTCCCCACCCGTTATGAGCAGGATAGCGGATAAACAATTGGTCCTATTTCACGAAACTTGGTGAAAGGATGTAGCATGGTTCAAGAAAGAACCCATCATATTTTGGAGCAACCGGTTCACAGTGTGAATACAAAACCTATGTTGCCCTTCTGTTGACACTAAAAGGAATCACATTTGGCCTTAGCGGAGCTCCACTCTCTCCTAGAGCCCTTCTAGTTAACTAAAACACCTCTTCAAATCCATGTTAGCATAGAATAGCTAACCAACCAAGTCCAACACCAGAACATAACAGTTATAAGCCCAAAGCTAGTTATAAAGTTGGGAGGCGTGTGGTGCAGTGGATAGAGCGTTGGTGTTTGGATCAGGGGGGCACAGGTTCAAACCCCACTGCAGTCAGCATGTCGTTGTGTCCCTGAGACACTTCACCCCAAAATTGCTCCTGTGGGGATTGTCCACAGTATTGAGTATGTAAGTCGCTTTGGATAAAAGTGTCTAACAAGTGACATGTAATGTAATAAAGTTGCCTCCTATACTTCCTGAATTGATCGAATACATTTACATTTTCTAAACTTAGTATTGTGTCGATCACTCAAACTGGAATATTGTCTCTTTTTTAATTCACACCACTTATTACATTTTTCACATGGATAGATTATGTGATAGTGATGTTATAAATAGTAGCTTTAATTAGCTGTAGCTTGGTCAGCATACATTTGCTTTGGTATAGGTCAATACAATCTAAAACTAACTAAGGATTATTTTTTCATTCTGATATACATTCTGCTGAGCATCTCAAAAATACATTTCTAATGGTAGACATCACCCTTGTCATCTGTCATCAATAAACAATAAAAAGGATGGAGACAGTGTTGCCCATCGGTGTGAAAACCCCAACTTTGGTACAAGTCAGTGCTAGGGATATATTAAGTGTATCTATTTAATTATTATACCTAACAATCTATTTTAAAAAGGCATGTCCGCACAGGTGAATCAGCACGTAAGGACCAAACTAAAGGGCCAACCTTGGCTATCATGCCCAGACATGTACCAGCTGGTTAGACAAACCCTTTGCAATTGTTCCACCTTTACTCCGAAATACACAATCACCTGCAGTGAGGCAACAATGTCATGCAACTGCTTGAAGTCTACAATGTTTAAATGCAACTTAACCTTTGTCAATTAATCAATTTGTAAATCGATCGCCAAATATTTTCTGAATTGTAACTGTTCAAAATATTATTTTTGGAAAATACATTTTAGGCTTATGCAAACTATGTTAGGACCTTGGACTCTAGAAAATGTGTTGGACAGTTTTAAATCAATAAATAATCAATCATCAAACTAACTGTTGGTTGTAGCCCAAGAGTAAAGATTAGGTGTTCGTCAGTGAAATTGCTAATGCTGGTTATCAGAAATATTATCAGAAATTAAATTAATCTAAAATAGAGGAATAAACAACAAACATACAGTAACAAGAGGGACACTGCAGTGTTTTCTGTTACTGTGCAACTTTAAAATCCATCAAACAATCAATATTCAATAACATCAATTGGTCAGCCATGCAGACCTGCAGGTCAAAGTTCATTTCTTTATCAAGGAAGATGTGCACCAGACTGCAACTTGTCTCCAGCATCTTCCCTACCAACTATCACATATACAACAGATCTGGAGCTGCAGTCAGGATACTGTTGCTTGCTTTCTGCTCCATAACATCCTGATATTTTATTCACTTTTGAGTACTGACACATGAGCATACTGAGTTGAAGCAGAAATCATTTAAAGGCACAAGTAGGGCCCATGCAGTGTAGCATGGAGGCAGTGCACCTGGCTGCTTCCCAGGCGTGTGTGTGTGTGTGTGTGTGTGTGTGTGTGTGTGTGTGTGTGTGTGTGTGTGTGTGTGTGTGTGTGTGTGTGTGTGTGTGTGTGTGTGTGTGTGTGTGTGTGTGTGTGTGTGTGTGTGTGTGTGTGTGTGTGTGTTTCAGAAGAGGCTGCTGGCCCTTTAAAAGCTAAGATGGTGTCCTACAAGCTGCAGCTTCTGCCTTCCGTTTCCTTCCTGCCTCTCAGAGATCACAGAGCATTTCAAATTGAACCTTAACTAACCTCGCACACACTCACACAGAGAGAAACACACACAGCGGGGACAGACGACAGGTTTCCGTGTTACCTGTGGAGATGACAGTGCTCTGAACATGATGTTACAATGCATTGTTACAAAACTCTTCCACTAATTGCAAAATAAACTGCCTACCTGCGAGAATACACTTGTAATTACACACTGACATTCATATGTGGTACATGTTGAGCTGACAACTGCTTCCACACAGATGGATTTGTTTAATTTTTTTTGTATTCATTGACCAGGGCAAAGTCAATAACGTGCACTTACTTTCTTGTTACGGGTCTCCGTGTGCATCTCGGTTGCCGGAGCGGTGCAGCGGCGGAGGGGTGGAGCAGCAGGAGGGGGTCGGTCGGGGCTTTTGGGTGTAGCTATATCTGAATAAGAGCTGTTATAGGGAGAGAGCAGGGTTTTTTGGGGGGGGATTAGTTTCCACCTTAACAGTAAATGTGGGATATATAGATACACGCTCCCTCTTCTTGTGCGCTCTTTTCAGTTCATATCCGCAGCGTCGAAGGCTCCCTTTGCTCCCCCCAAAAAACAGCCAGTCTCTCGGTGTGTCTCTCCCTCTCTCTGACGGCGTGTTGTTGCCGTGCATTCAAGGGCTGGGCTCTCTCTCTCTGCCTTTTCCTCCTCCGCCTCTCCCTGCTTGTGACCCCACCCTGCGTCCCCACCCCTCATCTCTCTGTCAGTCAGGAGCTGCGCAGCCCTGCAGCCCTGCAGAGGAGCGGAGAGGAGGCTGCCGGCGACCCGACACCGGCTGCAGGCAGGCGGGCAGGCGAGGGGACGAGCAGCCGCTGCAGAACCACGCAGATAATGCATAGACAATTTTAATTGCATGCAAAACAGCACAGGATCTCATCCACATCTGTTAAAGCCATGTTGCTACTTATTGCTCAGAGATGGTGGAGAGAGAAGCACCCATGTCACCTTACTGACGTCACCCAGCAGGCTAATTGAGGACACTTGAGCTGGGTGGGGAGGGTGGAGTGGTGAATGGTCAGTATATATACCCAGCAAGGCTTTGCAGCATTACTTTTTATAATAAGACATAAGGCACATCTGAATGAATGATAAGGGAATGCAGCCAATGTGATGACGATGGAGGTATAACCACACCCTTTCCATTGAAGCAGGGTGTGGTACAGTGGAAGTCTTAATTCTTTGGAAGGTATTTAATAACATCAAAAAATGAATGCAGCATATTTGATCTGATGTGGATTTCAACAGAGAGATTAATCCAAACAGCTGAAAAAAAGATACTCACATTACCATACAATTGTTATTATCACCATTAAAGTTTCAGAAATAATGTACACATTGATCTGTTTTCTGTCAAAAGCGAAGCTGTGGAATAATGTGTTCCCTATCTGTATCCATGAGACTATAATACAGTAGTTCATTATTACTCAGATGGGGGATTTAACTACATTTCCCATGAGTCCACAGACCGGAAGCAGAAATAACACCGCGGAAGCATGCGAAGGTAAACAAAACTACAAGTTATCAGTATCATTTACCTGTCATTTCATTACAATTGTGTCATTTTAATTAACGTTTGGTGTCCTTGCTTTGGGAGAAAATACCAGTTTATAGCTGTTACGTTGCTTTTACGTCTGATCTACGGCAGGCACCGTTGTTGTCATGGAGATAGCTAGAGCCAGCTAAGCTAACGTTAGCTAATCTCTGTAGCAGCAACATGTTTAACACGATTGTATCTTAAAATATGTTGAACAGGACTATTATGTTTCTATTCATCTATACTTTAGACTCAAAGCTTATGCATAGACCGTATTCCTCACCTCTGCATCGCTCAGTTTGCCCCTGGTAGTCTCAGTTTACCACACGGCTAATGCTAAAAGAGGATGAAAAATATTCACTGTCTCCACCTTTAGATGGAGTTTATGATAAAAGAGGGACTACATTGAGATGTTAGCTTGTGACAATGAACGAAAATACATAGGTATCTAAGAATATTATATTCTAATATATACAGTCTGTTATTAACAAGGCATATTAGATTACAGGGTATATGTATTTTTTAATTTGTATACTAATATCACTTACATGAGCAATATGAAACCCATTTTTAACACATATTCCTAAAGTGGATTCAAGCAATATACTTCTTATTAAGTTAGCAATAGTGAATTCTTTATTTAAATTGAGTTACAGACATTCACAGTTAGACACAGAGCAAAAAGCAGAGTGTTACCCAAATATAATTGTTCAAAGGACAAGGAGGACCATAGATTTAATGAAAGCCTCATATGGACAGATTATTTTTAAAGCAGTTTTTTAGTGATGGGGTCAAACTGTGGAGTTCTCTACAGAATGATTGTATGGCAAGAAAATGCATCAAGCTATAATATTAGATGATACGAAGTGTCAGGTTATCTGTTTCTTTTGTTGATGGTGAAGTATTATCTATGGTTTTGAATCCTCTTTTTCTGTAGTATTGCCTGTTAGGTAACTTGAATTTACAAACACATGTTTCTATTATTGATGATGTTTTGATTAAGGGGAAGGCAGGCAAAATAAGACAACAACCAAACAATATTAATCGAGAAAATAAACAGTCAGACTCATCCAAAATTAAATGAATCATTAATTGCAAGCTATGTTTGAACTTTCCGAAAATCATTTATTTCACATGTTGCATTTTTGTTAGTTAAGTTGTATTAAGGTGTGTGTGTGTGTGTGTGTGTGTGTGTGTGTGTGTGTGTGTGTGTGTGTGTGTGTGTGTGTGTGTGTGTGTGTGTGTGTGTGTGTGTGTGTGTGTGTGTGTGTGTGTGTGTAGTGTGTGTGTGTGTGTGTGTGTGTGTGTGTGTGTGTGTGTGTGTGTGTGTGTGTGTGTGTGTGTGTGTGTGTGTGTGTGTGTGTGTGTGTGTGTGTGTGTGGTGTGTGTGTGTGTGTGGTGTGTGTGTGTGTGTGTGTGTGTGTGTGTGTGTGTGTGTGTGTGTGTGTGTGTGTGTGTGGTGTGTGTGTGTGTGTGTGTGTGTGTGTGTGTGTGTGTGTGTGTGTGTGTGTGTGTGTGTGTGTGTGTGTCAATCAATCAATCAGAGTGAGCCGGCAGCTGTGTGAGGATGGCCCGCTGCTGGAGGAGCAGGAGACGGAGGGCCAGAGGCAGCTGCACAGCCTCCTGCTGCAGCAGCTCCACACCGACGTCGACATTGACCGGTCTGTTTCAAAACAATGCAGCATTATCAAATATTGTTTGTTTATCTCTTTTAGTAGTTGGGAGTTCTGTTGTGTAAGCAAGTGGCTTCTTGTTTATCTTTTCATTATCAAGATTAAAGTCAGTCATGTCTGTGCAAATACAATGTACAACATATTTTAATTAAGATAGCTTGATCAAAAACCTATGGACAACATTTATTTTCTCAAAAATGTATTAAGTCCTATGGCCACATTCAGTGTACTTTCAAAAAATTATATTCTTGTTATAGTGCAACTTCTGGGGTTGGGACAAATTCAAAAGACAAAAATATACCGCAATGTATCCCCTTAATGAGTACTGTCATAGTGCAGAAGACTCTCTACTACTACATACTAACAAGCACCATACCCTGTAGTGAACGTCTGTCTCTTGATAGCAGATCATGACTGTGCACATTTTTATAAGACGATTTTATTGTCACACATTGACAGTAAAAAATCAATTTGCTGTGTTTAATAAAAGCTGTGTAGCTCAGTGGGAAAATTAAGTGAGCTGTTTCACGTTTTATTCCCACCTGAGCTCTATATAAAAAGAAAACCCACGCTCTCTTTACTGCTTCGGAAAAAGAAGCATCCATCAATTGCTCTGTTATGTTTTCTTCCCACAAAGCAATGTGGAGAATTTTCTTTTACACAAACCCCGGGGCAACATGTTCTTACACAGCCGTGTTTTTATCAGTCAAATATGATCGTAAAGAGTCAGAAACAACGCTAGAATATGTGACTTTGTAAATGTCTCCAGCTGTTTTGGGTATCTGTACTGAAACCAGAGTTTCCGTTAGAATTCGTTTTTGCCGGTCAACATGTCCGTCAAAGTTTAAATCTTCCGGACAAAATGAAAAAAGTGCCTGTCAAAGGTCTTCTTTGTTATTTATTGAGCTTTAAAATAAATTGATAACGACATTAGGAATAAAATAATCAAGGCATGTAGATGTTTATTTTATCGAAAAGTAACTTTCAGTCAATTTGACCCCCCTATCGCAACTTTTGGAAAAACATACATAACATTCATCTGTTTGCAACTCATATATCAATATTCCAATTACTGTATATAGACTATTCTGCACTGTTTCTATTATATTATATTTAATTGTATTTACTTGCACTATTTTATCTGTGTTATTGTGTTGCACTGTTGGAGGAGCCTGTGACCTAAGATTGTCATTGTCATAAATACACTAGCTATGCACACATGACAATAAAAAGCCTTGAAACATCGTCAGCACTGAAACAACTTCTCTCTTACAGATGTGTCGCCAAGAGGAAGTGCTTTGCCCCGGCGTCGCTCTACCGGCCGTTTGGGCAGCAGGCAGCCGGCGTGAGGAGCCTCTCCCAGTTCCAGGCCCTGCAGGACGGGGAGAAGGAGCTGGCCGGCCTGCGGGAGCTCGGCCTCACCGACACCGAGATCCAGCTGTGGCAGCGCCGAGATGAACCTCTGGAGGCGGAGAAGGTAAAACCTGCTGGGTCCGATTCACCGCACTGTACGTTTGGGGTTTGTTCCCCGATTTTCTGTGGTTCTCCAGGGTGTCCGCGGGGTCTTAAAAAGTATTAAAAGTTGATAAATCAATTTAGCGAAAATGAAGGCTATTAAAAAGTATTAAACGGCATTTTCCAAGGTATTACATTTTGTAGCTAGTTTTCAATAAGTATATAAATTGTCCAAAGAGGTTGTATTCTACAGTCTGCCTGAATGTAATCATTGCGTAGGTGTGTAGTGTGATTCTGTGTAGTTTATTTATGGCATCCCGTTGGGTTTGACGTCATCTGAACAGGACATCGCACGCTCTGCTTGATAGCGCGACGGTCCGTTTACGCCGGTTGTTAAACAACATCGTTATGGGGGAATGCAAGTCTGCGTCCAAATGGTTGGAAGATAAGGAGGAAGGACAATCAATACTGTATATAGTCAATGTGAGGTAAAGTGTGTCGCCAAGGTAACCGGTTAAAACTCTTGGTGGCGATGAGGTCTTAAAATGAATGGAAAGGGTCTTAAAAAAGGTCTTAAAATGAATGGAAAGGGTCTTAAAAAAGGTCTTAAAATGAATGGAAAGGGTCTTAAAAAAGGTCTTATTCATAGCAGACTTGAACTAAAATGATACTAGAATAATCAGGAAATAATACAAAAATGTTATCCTTTTAGAGGAACTCAATTTAAACCATATTGCCTTTTATTAAAGGAACAAAATTCATTTCACTTTTATTTTTAAGTTATAATATTTCCCTTCCGAGAAACAGCAAAAAAAATACATTTCCCTTCAACTCTTGTGAAATGAACCACTTGTGCAGTCTTTCTAATTAAAAAAAATAAAATAACAGGACTATCATAAACATTTCCTCTTAGTTTAAATTCCATTTAATCAAGTTTTTGCATTCACTATATCAACTTTATTCACTGCTATTTCGAAATGAACACCACACACATACATACTTTCCTTTTTTAGAATAATAACAGATGATTGTTATGATCAATATTCAAGCAACAAATGAGACATCCAATGTAAACGTGGGTCCTTTCTCGCTTTAATGCCTGAGGAAACACTGATCCACATACTTTCAACACCTAACCTTTTGAAAGAACATCCATCTGTTTGCAACTTATATATATATCAATATTCCAATTACTTAAGCAATAGCTCACGACAGGCCTTAACTGTGATATAATGACCATATACCACGGTATATGGTCATTATATCACAGTTAAGGGGCGTGGTTCAACCCCCTTAGCTATTGCTTTTTATAAAACGGTTACCAAGTGTGGCCATATGAAAGAAAAATACACACTCTAATTTAAATAGTTTTTATTAGTAAATAATGATGTTCAAAGTAAAATAGTCCCTCCGTTGCCTTCTGCACGAAACATGGTGGTTGCTAGGCGACAACACTAACAGCTAGCGAACATATTAGACAGAGAGCGTTGATCCATCATTTGGCTATTTATTTACATTAATGTGTATGTTGCCGTTTATTGTGCACCCACTGAAAACCTGTCCAGCATCAGTAGCATGGCTTACGTGGTTACTTGTATAGGTTGAGGTTGTTCTAGGCTGTTGCTTGGCGTGGAGAGAATATTGCTCCACTTTCTCCGGTCCCCGAGATTGGGCTTCCAGTAGCTCTGGAGAGAGCTTTCGCACCTGTGGCCACTAACGGTCATCATTTCTCTGCTTTGTTTCAAGACCCGCATCAGAAAGCTTTTGAATGGTGGTACTTTTCCAGTTGGTCTACCTGCTCTTCACGTAGCTCTGCATGGCGTCGTTTAGGTGCTTTCTGGAGATAGGCACTGCTCAATCCACTCCTCCATAGTAAGACCACCCCAAGGTCGAAGTTAACCTATGTTTCCATCTTAAGCTTTGTTTGTTAGTTAGTTTCGTAACGGACGTAATTGTAACAGCTGTAACGGTTGTAGCTTTTCTCAGACGCGGGGGGATACTGACTTGTTGTGAAAAGTAACTACAATTCTACCCGTGATATACGCTCATTATATCACGGCTAAGAACCAATCACATTGCTTGATTTGACTTGTCCGTTTTATAATTGTATATAGACTATTCTTGCACTATTTCTATTATATTCAATTTTATTGTATTTACTTGCACTATTGTATTGTGTTGCTCTGTTAGAGGAGCCTGTGACCTCAGATTGTCATTGTCATATCTACACTGCAGCTAATGCACACATGACAATAAAAGCCTTGAAAAATCTTGAATCTTTATATAAACGCCATCCCACGCTCTAACGTCTGACCCCGCTCGGTGCCCACTCAGGCCCACGGGGTGTGTGCGGCCCCCGGAGCGAAGGAGCAGCGCCTGCAGGTGATCACGGATAAGATGGAGGCCCGGGAGGAGCTGATGTCCCGCCCGCAGCGCTTCGCCTCCAGCCGCCCGCTGTCCCGCAGAGAGATGGAGATCGAGCGGGCGCTCTTCCAGGGAACCGACCGCCTGGGCTTCCTCGCTGCGCTCTACCACAGAGGTGAAGACACATAAACTAGACTGGCTTGTTATAGTGTGTTTAGATAGGCTGAAGTAAGTTTCGTAACAGAGAGGGGAAGTTACAAAATAACAGTCAGAGGTGAGAGTGGTTGATTACAATACCTTTTTATCTCCACATACAAACAACTTCTCATACCACATACTTTCTACTCCACTACATTTATTTTGTCACTTTTAGTTTCTTCAATTGATGATATAATTATGGTTGAAGCTATGAGATGCAACAAAAAGTTAATGAACACTTAATGCAACAATTATATACTGAATGATCCTTAAATGGGCATTCTGCATAATGAGTACCGTTGATGCTTATATTTTTCAGCCAACTCTGAAAGATATTTTCTAGAAAGGTACAATTATAATTACTACCTTCCCAGCTTTAATGACAGCCATTTTCTGTTCAGATTTTAATATGTTCTTCATGCAACTGCCAGTGAGTAATTTAACAAGTGGGTGTACTTATAATATAATTGGAATCATTGCTTTCATGTTCAAACTTTTTTAAATGCTTCTATCAAAAATAATAATTCCCTTTTAAAAGAAATTGGAATGAGTGATGTAGAAAACGATTGTAAACGGGAGGATATATAAGTAAATTCAAAACAGCAGCGAAGAGGACTCAATGTCCCCTCAGTCCCAGAAGATCTCACCTGCTTATATATTTCCTTTCTCACAACAGATGAAGAAAACCCAGAGAGCCAGCAGGGGGCGCCGTCCTCCGACCCGATGCACTCTCTCTACAGAGACGTCCTCAGCAGGAACAGAAAACACGCTTCACCACAGGAGAGAGAAACAGCAGCACACCTGTCTACACACAGAAACACACCTGACCAATCACAGGACTCGCACAGAGACAACAGCCAATCACAGGACTCACACAGAGACAACAGCCAATCACAGGACTCACACAGAGACAGAAACCAATCACAGGACTCACGCAGAGACAACAGCCAATCACAGGACTCACACAGAGACTGCAACCAATCACAGGACTCACGCAGAGACAACAGCCAATCACAAGACTCAAACAGAGACAGCAACCAATCACACGAAGCCTCTGACTATATTTCAGAACTGCAGAGTGATAAAAGTGTCTCAGTTCAGTCAGAGTGGAGTTCAGAGCCCGCGGAGCAGCTTCTGGCTCAGGAGGACTCTCCAGCAGCTGCTGCTCCTCCACGGATAAACATCAGCCAGCCAATCGGCAGTCTGAAGGCGAGGGTGGGGGGGGCCGCTGACCGTCAGAGGGGAGATCCAGACCATCTCAGAGGAAGAAATACTGAAGAACCGTGAATCTGAAGAAGGGATCCAGAACATCCCGAGGTTCAAGAACTACCAGCCGGGGAAACCCTCCAAGGTACCCACAGATACACCTGCAACACACTAAGAGTTTAGTTTAGTAGTTTTGATCTAATACAACTAATATATACATACAAAAATGTATAATAAACAATAATAAGGTATCACTTTTGAAATAGTGACAAGCCACTGTACATGTATTCTGGATTAGAAGGCATAGGCTAAAGTGTATGACACCGTTTCTTATATTAATTATGTTAATTTTTACACCAAAAAATGAGAAATTGGAAGTACTGTGTAAACTATAAGTTTCTAATAGATGGGTTGGTAGGACTGCACGATTTGGGGAAATAATTATTTCCCCAAATCGTGCAGTCCTACCAATCATCAGTAGAGGACGTTTTTTTTTTTTTTTAAGCCACCCTTTGATTTTTTTGTGGCAATAATCTTTTCCAAAAGAAATTGTATTAAAAAATACAATTTCAAACTTCAAACACCTTAAATTAAGATTACTCCTTGATTGACTTTTAAAAATATGTATTTTAGCCAGAAGAATAGTTGTATTTATGAACTGTGTGCGGTCTTCATCTAAAAGCCCAAATAAAATATGAAAGGGTGTAAATGTAAATTCAATATTTGCTGCCAAATAATTTGCAAAACATTATAATTTGTGTGGAAACATTTTCATTATTAAGATTTATTTTTATTTCCTTTCTCTTTCTTGATCCTCCTTAGCAACGGTCATTACAGTCCTTAGCAACGGTCTGTTCTACTGGATTAACAACGTGTCACATGTTCTGAATTGACCAATCAGAACTTTATTTAGCCTCCGTATTGTTGGCCGCGAAACAAAATGTGATTCTTAAGTGGGCCCTGAGTTGAAAAAGTATCAAATCAAATCAAATCAAGTTTTATTTATAAAGCACATTTAAAAACGATTTTTGGTCGAGCCAAAGTGCTGTACGTGTAATAAAAGCACACTACAATAACATAAGAAAGAATTTACAACAGAAATATAAAGACAAAACACAGAGAACATGTCAAGTGTCAAAGTAACATTGGTTTAGTAAAAAATCCCTTGTTGTGTTGGTGTCTCTCCTTCGCAGCTATACGATATGTAGCCTTGCAAAATATCCACTTATTAAGACTTATTCGTACACCTGAGCTCTCGTATTCCTCATATTTTACTAGCATTTTGGATTATATTTCTGCACAGAGCAAGAGCTGTGGATGTGTCCCCATCACTCATATAGAATTTTCTTTTATAATGGATCTCCTGGTGGCCAGCATGAACAGAAGAAATGATTACAGTGAGCAGAAACAGTTTTAATGTTCATAGGGGCGCTGAGTGTTCATCAAATGAGTCATTAAAATGAAATACATCAACTCGCAGTAATTTAAAACCTCAGAGATCTGCGGGATGTGGACTCGTAAACTGTCAGGAGAAACGGATGATGATTGTTCTGAACTTTAATCACATTTCCCTACAAACAGAGAGCTGCAGCCTCAAACAGAGCTTATGAATAGGTTGTTTGTAATATTACACACACTGCACACACGATAAGATGATAGCTAATCAATGATCACATAAAAGATATATAATAAAGGGTGTTTAAATACAGAGATGGTATGAACATGTTGAGGACCTGAGTGTCATAATTGAACATAAAATATGTTTGAAATCACTCGTAAATAATGAAGCTTGCAATATAATAAATAACTAAATATATCAGTGATGCATGTTATAGGGATATATTTATATACTGTATTGTTCTCTCATAGTTCAGTACACTACCTACTGTAAGGGGAAACTTAAAGTGGACCTATCATGCTATATTTGAATAATATAGTGTAGGGCCATACATATTTAAGGCATATTTATACTTTTTTTTTTTTCAAAATACCAAACAGATCATGCATTTTAGCCATGCCTCATTTTGCTCAATTTGACATTTTTTAGCTCTGTTTTAGCAAGGGCAGATTCAGTGAGAACAGCACCACCTACAGGCCTGGCATATGTACTACAGCGTCTCCAGCGCTTTCGAACGGCAATGGCCGTGGCTGTCTCCTCCTGATTGGTGGAGTTGGCCCAATAGCCGTAGCGCCACCGTCCTGACGTCAGGACAGTGTTCAAATCTGGATCAGTTTTTATCAGATCCGTTGCAGCCCCTTTTTTAGAGATTTGGGTATGGAGGAAAATAGAGAGGGTTGTGTTTTCTGACACTTGGTGAGTTCCCTGGAACACCGGGGACACATATTCATGTATAAAAGACGTACCAAAGTGCATTTTGCATGATAGGTCCCCTTTAAAGTAACGAACACTTATCCAGTTGTTATGCTTCAGAAGAGAGCTATAAGAGTTTTAAACAAACTTTATATTAGCTTACTAACTTCAAAGGTTTGATTATGTTGAAGCTATAAGGAAACTGCACTAAGTGTAATGTCATTTTCATTATTAATGAATTTTAATTTAAGGAAAGAGGTATGTCTAAAACAAAGAAGATACATGGTTATGACAAGAAATTAAGAATGTGAAGTTTACTTTGCAAATGAAAAAAACTTAAGTATGTACTATAGTTATTTTTGTCTATTTTTTCTGTAGCCTAGACCTAATAGTGAAAGGGCTTTCCTATTAAAATATGTTCTATACAAGATTAGATTAGCTTCAACTTTATTGTCATTGCACAGAGTACATGTGCTATGACAGTTAGCATCTAACCAGAAGTGCAAGACAAGTAAGAAAGCAGTTTTATTCAGAGTATAATATAAATATATACATATAAAAGGGAAGCCATATCAAGCCTTGAGCGTGTGGGTCACATGTTCCCCTCTCCCCGTGCACAGACTGAGCGCTCTGTTCCTCTGCAGGTGCTGTGTGTGAAGAACCTGAGTGCTCGGGCCTCGCTGGCCCAGCTGGTGGCGCTGTTCTCCAGGTACGAGCAGCAGAGCGCCCCCCCGCTGCTCTACCGCCTGCTGACAGGACGCATGAAGGGCCAGGCCTTCATCACTCTGCCAGGTGAGAAACTATGACATCATTATGGTCTGTATACGGGTTTAAAACGGGATGACATTTCACTTTTTAAATCTGCACAGCTCTCCACTTATATAGTATTTGCCATATTTTATTTTTACTTTACATGTAGATATTGTCTTTATTTTTTATTTGTTACAGTAGTCTTTTTAACATAATAGCTTCTTGTTCCTATTTATTTACACAAACATGGACATAACAACAATATACCGGAGATTAAATACAATAAGGGTAATGACACTCATTAGACAAGAACAAAAGAACAAAACCAACTAAGAATAAAGAGACAAATGGATCAAAACAGTCATCAGGAGTCGCTTCAACATTTCATAAAACTAGGTTGAACATTCAAAACAACCAAAAAACTCAAAAATAAAACAGCTTTTATGATAGTTCAATCAGGAGAGACAGAACATTTATTAACACATGCGCCATATGATATAAATGTTAATAGTCCTTGCCAGGGTTTGAGTTATAAACTGAGCTCGATGGGGGTCTTTAAAACTAACGCGCATGCACACACACACACACACACACACACACACACACACACACACACACACACACTCAAACACACACCACACACACACACTCAAACACACACACACTCAAACACACACACACACACACACACACACACACACTCAAACACACACACACACACTCAAACACACACGCACACACACACACACACACACACACACACACAAACACTCAAACACACACACACACTCACACACACACACTCAAACTCAAACACACACACACACACACTCAAACACACACACACACACACACACACACTCAAACACACACACACACACACACACACTCAAACACACACACAGCAGCAGCCCTCTACTTGCTACAAACTTAAAGATGAAAAGGTTAAACTACGCACACCACATAACACATCATCTCGGCTCGCGCAGCACGCTCACAGGCATAGATTGCGCAATAATTTATTGCTGCAGGCATGTTGTCCTTCAAGAGATGCGTAGTTCTTTTGGAAAACATGTTTTTCTTTTAGCCTATTTACCTCGTTAATGTAAATAATACTCATTACATTGACACATGCATTATTTTTGATTCAAATAATGGTTGTTGGTAATGTATTAGCGACCCCCACAGATGTGTGATTTCACTGCGTCCGTGGGAGCTCTGACCCTCCTTAGCCGCATTCACACCGGAGTACTTTTCCCCGTACTTTTCCCCTTTAGTTCCGTTAGTACCCCTTATGTTACGTTCACACCAAAAAGAGTACTTAGTGCCGGGAACTTTTACCCCCATTTTTAGTGCCTGCTAGAGAGGTGGTACCTGGGGGAAAAAAGTGCCCCGGTTCTGATTGGCTGGGCGAATTGCAAACCACGCCCCGTAAAACTCTGAAAAGTTTTGTGAAGCCGCCATTGTATTTGTGGCATTAACATTATTAGCATTAGCATTAGCCCCGCGCACCAACGGACAGAGACTAACTTATGGCAACACAAAATAAAACATGGGAGCGGTGGAGATGAGGAGGTGTCGGCGTTCTGGCGATTTACTCGGAAGGCTGGGACTCCCAGCAGCTTCGACTGAAGCCTTCCCCAACTCCGGGGACTTCGGGCCGGGGACTCCGGGTGGCAGTATACGCCGTGAAGTGGTTTGCAGCCTGCCAGTAAACCCAAAGCAGAAGAAGACGAAGTGACGTCAGCGGCTCATTTGCGTAATCTTCCCTCAGGGAAAAGTACTCCGGTGTGAACGCGATTGATACTTAGTGCCCTGGGGTAATAAGTGCCGGCACTAAGTACGGCAAAGTACTTGGTGTGAAAGCGCCTATTCCCACATACCTCGAACCCTGGTCCTTCCGATTAGACCCCGATCCTAATATCATACTGTATATCTTAAGGGGGAAGTGCAGTGGGTCTAGACACTGGAGGTGATGATGAAGATCTGGATTTGATGAGGAAGAGGGATGAAGGGGATGATGATGATCTGGATTTGATGAGGAAGAGGGATGAAGAGGATGATGAAGATCTGGATTTGATGAGGAAGAGGGATGAAGGGGATGATGAAGATCTGGATTTGATGAGGAAGAGGGATGAACAGGATGCTGAAGATCTGGATTTGATGAGGAAGAGGGATGAAGGGGATGATGAAGATCTGGATTTGATGAGGAAGAGGGATGAAGGGGATGATGAAGATCTGGATTTGATGAGGAAGAGGGATGAAGGGGATGATGAAGATCTGGATTTGATGAGGAAGAGGGATGAAGAGGATGATGAAGATCTGGATTTGATGAGGAAGAGGGATGAAGAGGATGATGAAGATCTGGATTTGATGAGGAAGAGGGATGAACAGGATGCTGAAGATCTGGATTTGATGGGTGGGGTGGGGGGGGGGGGGGGGGGCAGCATAATCACCTGAAATCACAGCTGACTGCAGGAGACAGGAGTACAATTTGACTGCAGCACAATGATTGGCTGCTGGAGATCGTGGTGAAATGTGATTGGGTAAAAGAGAACGCCCATTATGAGCTGATTAAAGCAGCTGGAGGGTGCTATGTTTTGCTCCTTTCTTTAAAAATGAGCTTCTTTGAATGCACTAATTACACTAAAACAAGTTCCTCTCATGTGTAAACCTACTTAATAAAAAACAGATTCTGTGACACACACACACACACACACACACACGCACACGCACACACACGCACACACACGCACACACACACACACACACACACACTGACCGACATGAATAAACTAAGCTGTGTGCTTTTCATTAAACATCAGATCTGTATGTGTGTGTTTTCCTTTTGGCAGACGCTGAAACGGCCCAGAAGGCTTTGCAGTTGGTCCATGGATACCGGTTGCTAGGGAAACCTTTGGTGGTTGAGTTTGGCCGTGAGCGACAGGAAACTGGCGAGAAACAGAAGGAGAAGCAGGAGGAGAGGAAATAAAAAAAAATAGTAGAAATAAAACGTTTATTCCTGACAGCAGCCTGGATCCTCCTGAACAACGGGGCGGAGATGGATGTGTATTATTTATTTATTATGGTCTTTTCCTTTTAATAAATATCTGTTTTGCACCAAAGCAACGTTTGTCATGAGTTTTCTGGAGCTGCAGTAAAATGTGTCTGATGCTGAAAGAAAAAAAACAAAAGCTTTTTATAACCATAGTTTAGTTACAAGTTTCAGGCCTTCGAGCCATAACATCTTGAGGAGATATTTGTAATTTCTTTGCTGGTTATCTGACAAAATATTGAGGTTATAATACTTTTTTTTTTTTGTTGCTTTTACTCATAAATGGTCAGTCATCTTGTCTAATATCACCTGGTATACTGTAGTATTGCAGGTGTGGGTTGCATGAATGATGTACTTACTGTGTGTGAAATCATGAATTAATGAACTCAGGATTACTCGTTTAGATACAGGGTGTCCGCGGGGTCTTAAAAAGTATTAAAAGTTGATAAATCAATTTAGCGAAAATTAAGGCTATAAAAATGTATTAAACGGCATTTTCCAAGGTATTACATTTTGTAGCTAGTTTTCAATAAGTATATAAATTGTCCAAAGAGGTTGTATTCTACAGTCTGCCTGAATGTAATCATTGCGTAGGTGTGTAGTGTGATTCTTTGTAGTTAATGTATGGCATCCCGTTGGATTTGACGTCATCTGAACAGGACATCGCGCGCTCTGCTTGATAGCGCGCGACGGTCCGTTTACACCGGTTGTTAAACAACATCGTTATGGGGAAATGCAAGTTTGCGTCCAAATAGTTGGAAGATAAGGAGGAAGGACAATCAATACTGTATATAGTAAATGTGAGGTAAAGTGTGTCGCCAATGTAACCGGTTAGAACTCCAAGTGGCGATGAGGTCTTAAAATGTATGGAAAGGGCGTTAAAAAAGGTCTTAAAAGTTATTACATCTGACTTCAGGATTCCTGCATATACCCTGAAATATATAAACACGGCGAAGAAATACATGCATATATATATATATAACATGTTGAACCCTTTATCTATATGTTGCCCAATTGTACTGCTTATTGAAACATGTTTAATCACAGTGTTATTCTTCTTTCGGACACTAGAGGGAGGCATTTACATAATAAAAGTCGGTCCGCTTTTAAAAGACACATAAACACAGCAGTATCCATAAAGTTTGTTTTTACAGACGATAACGCACATAACTCCTATAATGACGCTTATTTTAACCGTACATATTGATTGTACTGCGGCACTGAGCGGTGAATTCATAACTTCAAGCAAGACATCTCAAATAGCTAACTAAGTAATAAATGAATGCTTGAAGTAGTTGTTGTGAATTCAAGGTTCAAGGTTCTTTATTGTCAATCTGACATAGCTACAGAGTAATTATGCAGTTGAAAATCTTATGTCACAGGCTTCTCCAACAATGCAACATAATAACATAACATAATAACAATAAGAGCATGAGCAATACAAAAATAATAATAGTTATAAAAATGAAATAATAATGAAATGAAATAAAGTTATGATGTGTGATGTTATGTTATGTTATGATGTGTGATGTTATGATATGATTAATACTGTTAAATAGTATCCAGTTAACATAAAATGATGGGTGGTGTTGATAAGAACATACTTTATTCCATCTAACAGTTCTCTGGTGAAATGTGTGAAAACAAAACAATACTTCTATATGTTAAAAGACTGTATCTGTGACAAGAGGTGCTCAGGATCATCTGCTGCATGTTGTCCCATTCTATTTGTGTTTCCCAGTGTGTGTGTGTGTGTGTGTGTGTGTGTGCTTGTGTGTGTGTGTGTGTGTGTGTTGTTGTGTGTGTGTGTGTGTGTGTGTGTGTGTGTGTGTGTGTGTGTGTGTGTGTGTGTGTGTGTGTGTGTGTGTGTGTGTGTGTGTGTGTGTGTGTGTGTGTGTGTGTGTGTGTGTGTGTGTGTGTGTGTGTGTGTGTGTGTGTGTGTGTGTGTGTGTGTGTGTGTGTGTGTGTGTGTGTGTACAGTGCACTTATCTCTGGTGTTCTCTCGGTCAGATGTGTGTTGGTTGAGTGGGTTCAGTTTCTGACCAGATTCCAGTTGCATGTATTTTAGGTTTGAAAAACATTGGTGGATTCTCCAAACACTTCTAGAGGTCTTCACTGCTCCAAAACACTTTGTAGTTTATTAACACTGTTTGTATTTGCATTAATGTGGTGCATTTTCTATTGGCTTTTTGTATCTCCAACTGGAAAACAATCACTCGTTGAAGATGAATTGTTGTACATTTAGTGATGAAGACTATAGATTTCTTATAGACGACACCAATAATAACCTGCTTGTCACGACCCATACCATGTCATTTAAAGACAATTATTCAATGTTTGTGTTTACTTTTATTGATGACTGTTTGCTTATATGGAATCATTCATATTAATGTACCGTTCCCACTGTTATCCACCTCTTTATTTATGGGAGACATTTGACCTTTTCTCTCATTAGTGTATTTGTCTCTGTGACAGTAATGCACATATGGGGCGAAGCCTGCGAGCTAGTTCAGGCAGTCAACTCGAGCACTTATGCTGCATTCATACATAACGCCCCTTGCCACTCTACAACCAACCAAACAGTCTCCTTAATATGCCGCTCTATTGAACCTGCCAGATCTCTCTCTATGCATTGCTTGCTGCTGCAGCTACCTCCACGTCGCTGCTGCTTGCCTGCCCCACCACCGCCCCAGCTTCCACCCCAGCTTCCACCCCAGCTTCCACCTGTAGGCTCTGGGGTTAGTTATTTAATCATCACTCATCGTGCTATGTATATCTGTGGAGTGATGAGGCCCGAGCCTAGACGCCAAACTCAACTATATGCTGCTTCTAATAAACATGTTAAAGAAACACGTGAGTTGTCTGACTGAAAAAGCCTAAAGAGAAAATAACCTATTTGGATTGCACTGCTAAACTCTGATATGATGAATGTTTGAACTTTTATTGATAACTTATTGATTGTATGGAATATTTAATAATTGTTTACATTTATTAAAATGATACACCAACAGTGTCAGCACTGATGTGTGGATGTAGGTGTGTGTGTGTGTGTGTGAGTGCGTATTGTGAATGTTTTCTTTATTATCATGACTTGCTCCTGACCTGTATTCAGTGATGTTGTCTATTGTAAATATGACCTTTTTTTTTTGTATAACAATATAGTGGTATCTTTATTCTTGCTTTTAGGATGCCCATCACCGTCTGGCAAAGGGACTATCGGTGAAAACTAGCCTGTTGGCTAATTCGAGTACATTCACATGTTTTTAATATGTTGATTAATGTACACTGTCCCTTGTTTGAACCCTTACGTTGTGTTCGGGTCTCCCGTGACTCGTTTCAAGTTAAAATGATATAATAACTACGCTCTAGTTCTTTTTAACAGAACAAGGCTTCATGATATCCTCCACAACAGCTATATAAACACTACAAAACAGATTTCGAAAATGTTTGCCACGTCTGAAGGTCTCTAAAAAAAATAGTGTATAATTTGGTGTTGGGGTCTGGGGAGACCCAGCAGAATTGTTTTGAGTGACTCGGGTTCAAATTTGGCCCAATCAAGATTCATCTTTGACTTTAGACACCCCACCCCAGCCCCCTTCATCCACTGTAACAATAATTTATAACCTTTTGGGGGAGATTGTATTCTAATAGTCTATTATAGTCAGATAACGTAATGATCCACTGTCTTCCCTATAGGAAATATAATGAGTGAATTGAATCACATGTTTTACTTAAATATGTGGTGTAATGTGTTTTGGGGCCATAAAATAAAATAACAACAGGATTGTACGGTTATGAATGCATAATAAGTTAGTTTTGATGTAGTTAAAATAATATTGGATGATAGTCATTATTTTGGAGTGTTTTGGACTGAGACAAATCATGGGTCAAAACTGACCCGCAAACATCATTAACGATAAACAGCTTTTGAACACAACACAAGGGTTAAACAAATCAAATCAATTCAATTTCCCACTGTTATCCACCTGAATAAAAAGTCAATTTCTTTATGGGAGAAATGTTACTTTTTCTCTCATTTGTGTATTTATCTCTGTGACAGTAATGCCCATAAAAGCCTAAACACAAAAAGCCTATTTGTATGTTACTGCTGAACTCTGATATGATGAAGCCTGATCTTCTGCTCCTGTGATTACACTTCTCCGCTCCTCTCAGACCTGATGAACAGTTCCCACAGACCTGATCCACAGCTAGCTTGTTAAAAGTGAAATCATCACCTCGTGCACTTTGCAGAGCCTCAGAACATGTTATCAGGCTGTGTGACAGCGAGCTGACCCAGTAAACATCGCTCTGCTCTCACGACCCTGCGGAGAGTCAAACTGCATCAGTATCGATCAGACTGTACCTGTTGGCTCAGGTCTGTTTGTGTGGATGCTTCTGTTTGCCTTCAGTTCAGGGCTGTGATCTCTCTCTCATTCTGCTCTGTAAAAACACGGTTAGAAACTCGCCTCTGACAGCTACACTCTTTACTTATTAACAGCTGCTCTATTCAAAAGCCTTCATGGGACACTTAGTGGATGGTTACACTCTGAAGCTGTGTTTATATGATACTGAAGGGAACACTTTTACACAATACACACCTAATTGACTGAAAATAAACATGTTCTAACACTTTTTCTGCATCTATCTCAGAAAAAGCTGCTTTTTAAGTACTTTTTGGCACTTTTATATTTTTCTATATATTTTGCATTTTGGAGAGTACAGTTATTTTGCCTCTTTCCCAGTATGAAGGCACTACACATTTAACACCTACATACAGTATGTTTTGCATGAGACACAGCTAGATTCTTAATTATGGGACTCAAGTTTTATTGCATTGTCTATATACATTAAGGCACATGTGTCAAACTCAAGGCCCGGGGGCCAAATCAGGCCCTTGGTGGATTTAATTTCGGCCCGCAGGATAATTTCTAATTACTATTAGATCTGGCCCTCCGGTATATTGCACGCACACCTTCACCCAATCCTGAGGGTTTCCTCAGCTCAGAGCCTGACCCCAAACATTGATGACCTAGCACCCAAGATGAGATGCCAAGTATCTGGCTTGAACTAGCATCACAGAGCAGCACACTGAGTTTACATGGATGTTTCCTTCTGCACTTTCTTTCACGACAACAGGGCATGTTTGGTTTGTTCTTTGAGGGAAATAGTTTTTTAGAAGCTGTTGATGGCCTGTGGAAAAATGTAATCATAAGAAATGAATGCAACTGATTATTTAATGTTTAATGTTGTTTTTATAGGCAATCATTTAAGCTTTGTTAGTTCCAGGTTTAATATGTGCAATAAGTTCATTTCAATACGTTTTGAAATAAACATTGAACCAGTCCGGCCCTCGACTAGTACCCATTCTTTTTTATTTTGGCCCACTGTGTATTTGAGTTTGACCCCCCTGCTCTAAGGCTTTCATGGTGTACACAATTGTAATTCTATACTTAGCTGTGCGGCTCCCTTTGTAATGCAGCTGTCTACGTATTCAACCATTCATGGTGTATAAGATAGTGTTTTGGTGGGCAAGAAATCAACAGATGATAATAAGAAAAGTAAGCATTTATTTCCAAATAGAAAACATGGAAACACGTTGATATAATGGGTGTGGTGTTTAGTTAAAATCAGTTGGCAAAAGGTTGTTCTGTAAATGAAATCAGCATAAATCTCCAGGTATAATAAACAGATTGTCTCAGGAAAATCAAAACAAGACTGAACAAATATATAATCTTGTTCCCTCTAATAAAGAAAAGATCCTGGTGATAAAGATTGAGTTGTAAATGTCACATGTCAATAATTATTTTCAGTTTTTGGCGATGTTTCCAATAAAAAACGTTTTGCACCATGACTCAAAAAAGAAATGTCTTCACACTAATGACAATATGCATAAATATATGTCCTTAAAATGCCAAATACAGGAGATAAATCCTGCAACACCCAGCATATTTCATAATTCAAATGAATGTCAACTCATATACAGACGGTTTACAGTATAATAATGATTATAAGGCACACTATGAATTAACATGAAAACAGCATTGAATACATTTGTGTCTGAATTGTCAGGAATCAGGAAGACAATCACATTTTGATTTCAAACTTCCAGTGGTGAGTATCAACAAACTATGGATGAAAAAACTGTGATGTGTCAGAACAAAGTTTGATACAGTACCATGGAAAATGTAAAGAAATATCGAAGATGGGTTCAGGTTTTATGTTGAAAATGAGGGGGGATGTTTTACAGATGCATCTTTATTGGACTTTTCCAATTAGGTTAGATATACTGTTTTAATTTAATCAATAGAGTAAATCTGAAAAAAAAAAAATCCAATATTGATAGCGTTCAAATATTAGAGTTGGCAAAAATCATCTGAAGTTAGTACAAATATTTACTGGATATTCAAGATACCAAGAGACCAAATCAATGGATGGCGCTTCAGTTAACCATTACATTTGACATATTACTGCCATGAAAATTATATCCATGCTTTTGTTGTATTTGTCATATATAAAAGTGTTGAATTGTATCGCTCCAATCCTAAACATTTCGTACTCAAACAATTGGCGCCATGGGAAGCCAAGACATCAGACACTTAGGTTTTAAAAAAAGATTTTGAAATGGGATCAGCGGGAGGAAACATAACTGTGTTTACATTTTGCTGCTGTGAACATCCTCAAATGTGTTTCTGACCACACACACACACGCACACACACACACACACACACACACACACACACACACACACACACACACACACACACACACACACACACACACACACACACGCACGCACGCACGCACGCACACACACACACACACACACACACACACACACACACACACACACACACAAACCTTGTGAAAGACAGTCCCGCTTTGTGAAAATGATGAACAACACGATCAAAGGCTTATTTAATCTTCACATTTGTGTTACTGTGTGTGTGTGTGTGTGTGTGTGTGTGTGTGTGTGTGTGTGTGTGTGTGTGTGTGTGTGTGTGTGTGTGTGTGTGTGTGTGTGTGTGTGTGTGTGTGTGTGTGTGTGTGTGTGTGTGTGTGTGTGTGTGTGTGTGTGTGCGTGCGTGCGTGCGTGCGTGCGTGCGTGCGTGCGTGCGTGCGTGCGTGCGTGCGTGCGTGCGTGCGTGTGTGTGTGTGTGTGTGTGTGTGTGTGTGTGTAGTTTGTACATTGGTATGACTTTTCTACATAATAAATGAGTTGCCATCAACGTAATGGAAAAGTGTGACATCCTACAATAATGATCAAACACTAAGCAAAATAAAAAGTTTCAGTCTAATGGTGTTGTTGTTGGCATAGCTCCTCTGTTGTCATCGTTACCTTTCAACTTTCCAACACTAAAATGCCAGAATTTATTCAACAAACTTTTGTAAAGCTTTAAAGGGGCCATACTCTGCTCATTTTCAGGTTCATATCAGTATGTAGTGTCTCTACTTTAAAGAGTCCTCTCCTGCTGATGTTCAGGTGTATATCAGTATGTAGTGTCTCTACTTTAAAGAGTCCTCTCCTGCTGATGTTCAGGTGTATATCAGTATGTAGTGTCTCTACTTTAAAGAGTCCTCTCCTGCTGATGTTCAGGTGTATATCAGTATGTAGTGTCTCTACTTTAAAGAGTCCTCTCCTGCTGATGTTCAGGTGTATATCAGTATGTAGTGTCTCTACTTTAAAGAGTCCTCTCCTGCTGATGTTCAGGTGTATATCAGTATGTAGTGTCTCTACTTTAAAGAGTCCTCTCCTGCTGATGTTCAGCTGTATATCAGTATGTAGTGTCTCTACTTTAAAGAGTCCTCTCCTGCTGATGTTCAGGTGTATATCAGTATGTAGTGTCTCTACTTTAAAGAGTCCTCTCCTGCTGATGTTCAGGTGTATATCAGTATGTAGTGTCTCTACTTTAAAGAGTCCTCTCCTGCTGATGTTCAGCTGTATATCAGTATGTAGTGTCTCTACTTTAAAGAGTCCTCTCCTGCTGATGTTCAGGTGTATATCAGTATGTAGTGTCTCTACTTTAAAGAGTCCTCTCCTGCTGATGTTCAGGTGTATATCAGTATGTAGTGTCTCTACTTTAAAGAGTCCTCTCCTGCTGATGTTCAGGTGTATATCAGTATGTAGTGTCTCTACTTTAAAGAGTCCTCTCCTGCTGATGTGATTTGAGCCTTTTCAAACCATTTACATGCACAACAAACCTATATAACACACTACAGGAAAGGGAAAACCCAAAAAATTATAATAGGGCCCCTTAAACAAATGAAAGACCCCCCACAGAGTAACAAACTGTGATGCAGTTTGTAAGTTGTGTATTCAGTTTGTCCATAAATGCGCAAAAATACAAAAATACATATAATAAAAGTTGCCATGGAGCCACATTTAAAGGTGTGACGGAGTGGCCTCAGACGTATCCTGTGATGTCATATCCTGCGGCGGGCTTCTTGCCGCTCTGCCCTGCCTGAGCGCTGGCCTGCGAGCTGTGGCTGGTGGTTCTCAGCCTGTTCCCCCCCGCCGCCTGCAGGGTGGGGTTGTGGTAGGTCTGTGAGGTCATCCGTGCCCCCTGTCCCGGGACCCCAGGATACGGGTACCCTCCCCCCCCGAGCCGCCTCCCCCCCCCACCTCCTCCCTGCCCCTCACAACACGACACACACAGCATTGCCCCGCCCAGCATGGAGATGAGCGAGGAGGCCAGGCCCACGTACAGAGACTCCCCCAGCTCGAACTTCATGCTGGTGGGCACGTTGGGCTGGTAGAAGGTCTGGACCACTTCATGGGTGGTCCACGCGACCGGGATGAGTGACAGGAAGCCGGCGGAGAGGAACATCCCCCCGCTGGCTCCTGCCACTCGACTCTTCATGGCTCCGGACCCCTCCAGGCAGAGCGTGCACTGCATCCCCAGGGGGGCCATGGCTATAGCGAGGATGGAGAGCACCACGGAGATGACCATGAGCGCGCGGGACGCCTGCAGGTTGGGGGGCAGCGCCAGCATGGAGTTGTAGGTCTCGCACTGGAAGGCCCCCGTGCTCTGGAACACACACTCCATCCAGAGGCCCCGCATGTTGGCCACCGCCGTCACGATGTTGGAGCCGATGTGCGCCGAGATCTGCCAGTACGGGAGCACCGTGGCAACCGTGGTGCCCAGAAGACCCAGAAGACCCAGGAAGAAGCCCATCAGCTCCAGAGCCGCCGACGCCATGGCAACGACTGGGATGGAGAAGAGCAGAAAGCATTGACATTTGTCATTTGTGTTTAGACATTGGATGCATTTAATAATGTCAAAATTCAGTTTCTGTAATGATTTCAACATTCAAGAAGAACTGGGATGGAGGAGACCCAAAAGTGTTTAGACAATGGATGTAATGTCAAAATGTAGTTCCTGTAAAAGTTGCAACATCTAGATTCTAAGCCATACTATTGAATTTGAAGAAAGCGAACACATTAGTCCGTCAACACAATTAAAGCCACATTATTTAATGGACTGACCCAAAAGCATTGTCATTTGTGTTTAGACAGTGGAAGCATTTCATAAATTCAGTTTCTGTAACCATTTCAACACACAAAAGCAAAATGTAGTCATTGTTTGTGGTTTGTGTTTATACAGTGGATGTAATCATTAATGTCATAATTGAGTTCCTGTAACGGGTGCGTAACGTCAGCCGAACATAGTCTTTCAATAAAAATCAAAGTCACTTTAATGTTTTTTCAATCCTATATTAGTGTTTTAAACCCCCAAACAACCATCTCTGCAATCATATTCACTTTATCAGACTGTAACACTACTGCTGTTGAGAGATGACTATGTGCAATATACTTTTTAACAATGCTTTCATCTTATTAGTGGCTGCTTCTTCAATACATTCTACAAGATAAAGTAGTAGATAGAAGTAACTGAAGATGTTTGTTAGAAGGTGAAATCTAATACAACCAGTATCAAGTTTACTGTAGCAGCTTTCTAATGAGCTGAATAAACTCTATAAGTGTTGACATTTATTTTTGTGTAATTGCCAGATAAGGTGGTTGTCAGCCATTTTGGTTTGTTGATATAATTTTGTCATTATTGTCCCTGAGAGGGTGATGTCAGAAATGGCTGTTATCTCACTGAAAATTACTGTTTACGACGTGAGAGGTCTTTACTCGTCTTCTGTTAATGACAGTGTGTAAAGTACGGCGTTATCTCGGCATTAAGTGTCTGGAAAACATTGGCAGAGTCACTGACCGAGTGAGGCTAAAAAAAAACACTGCTGTAGGTTTTAAATCAGAAACGCTGATACAGAAGTTATGGAGGACAAACTGACTCACTATTGCAACACAAGCACAAGTCAGTAAACAGCTTAGATTTGTAGTGGTGTGAGAAGTACTCACATGTATTACTCAAAAGTAGAATTGACAATATTTCAAGTAACACTCTTGAATTGATTAAAAATGTCTCTTAAGTAAAGGTACAAACGTATATGTAATCCAATTTTGAAAAGTAGAAGCAATTATTAATGCCTATACTTTCTGTGTAAGTAAATAACAGGGGAAGTATCATGGTGATACATTTTACCACCTGCGGTGTCGAAAATGCATGAATTTTACATTACATATCTCTAAAGACTGTTTTCTCAAAAGTCGTTTTTTCTCATATTCAGAGACGGAAATCTCCACTTTAGCAGCTCTCAGATGCACTTACGTTTCCATTTTGTATTCCTTTTTTATATTATTTAGGTTTACAATGAGGGGTATGTTATCTATTATCCATAGCCTGGATTTTATCACATTTTAAAACAAAAAATAATGCAGAAATCTATAATTGTTCTGGCTTTTGACAGTATTTACAAAAGATATCCCAAACCTTTGACTCTCAAAAGTCAACAAAGGAAACAAGAATTTTGAACCTAGTTGTTTCTCATATTCGGGGTCAGAAATCTCCACTTTGACATCCCTTACATACATCAAACCTTCCAGTTTCATTCCTATCAATATTCAGTATATTCAGATTTGTCCAGATTGGTTTGTGCTCATTTATAGAACACTTTATTCTTGATAACATGGCACAAATCGATTACTTTTTTGGTCTTTGACCCCATTTGATGTCCAGAACCCTCTCTGTAAAACCCTTCAACCAAATAAAACATTATCTTTTAAACTGACTTTGTCTAATGTTCCCATAATGTTAGCAAATTAGCCGACTTCTTTTAAGACAATGCCTAAAGTGCGTAATTAAACGTAGAAATTCTGAAAAAAATGTAAGTAATCTACTACGGAAACATCCTGTTGGAACATTATGTGTCATTATGTGTCCTCTGCTTGTACCTCATACACTCAAAACATTAATATGTACCACTACACACACACACACACACACACACACACACACACACACACACACACATACACACACACACACACACACACACACACACACACACACACACACACACACACACTTGCTGCCAAATGAAATGCATTACCTGTTATTGCAGCAGCTGCTGAAAGACTGAGATGCGTTGAGGTGTGATTCTGTGTTTAGTTCAGGATCTGAAGTTGCAGGTGGAGCAGAGGATGGAGCAGAGGTGTTCAGATCCTCCTCTGATGTTCCTGTTCTCCTTCTGTTTTCCGGCTTCTTCCAGAGAGAAGAAATGTGTGTTTTTCTGCGTGCTGTCTCAGACTCTGACTGCCTCCTCAGACCTTGACATAGTCGCAGCTGTTGTGTCGCTGCTGTACTTTTAATAAGCACTTACTGTGCTGGCTGCGTTGGACCAAAGGGAGCCAAGAAAAAATCTTCTGAAGAAGAAATACAATCCTTTGAGTTTTGATATGCTGCCTGTTGTAAAAGACTTTCCACTTCAAGCAGCAATAATAGATGTGACTGCCTCTGTCACTGTCTCTGCTCAAGTGTGTGATCTCTGTCCCTCATCCAGACCTTCACCTCCTGTCACACACACACACACACACACACGGTGACAGTGACACACACACATGCATCATCATTGGTTAATCATTGTCTCATCGGTCATCTCTCCAAAACAGACGGCTCAGTCCGGAGAATAAACGTGGAACAGATCCCTGAAAGAAGATGAATATTTCAGGATATTAGTTTTCTCTCTATGGTGGAGTGGAAAATGTTTAATTCAGCAAAAGATTTAGGCGTCATATTACTTTAATGGAAGAAAAAAAAAGTGATCCTTTCATGTTACGGGGAAAGTGTCTCCGCAGGAATCCCAAAATAGCTTGTGAACATTTTTGTATTTTAAATTAAAATGAGAATTGGAGTTAACCAGCCTGGAGCAAGGACAATGAGGATATTTTTTCACTCTTGAAATAATTAGTTTCTATCTAAATTAAGTTTCATCGAGTCTTATTCCTTTTCATATCTTTCATTTTGGGTTTCACAACAGAGAGGTTCTCCCCTGAAAGACAGACTGGAGGTTATCAAAGTGTTGGTTTGTCATATGTCCATTTTTCAAACCTTGCTTTGTCATTCATCGGTGTTTGCACATACAGTATAACGTCTACAAACGATGACGATTAGACCATGGAGACAAATAATGATGACAAGGAGACAAAAGGACCACAGAGTGAAATATAACAATTAAGGACACAGAGATAGAAATGTATAAATCACGCACAAAAATAACCACAAGAGGCACAAAGAGATACACAGTGAACACAAAATGATGAAGAACTGACACTTTATGAACTCAAAGTACCACAAAATGACCACACAGACCCCACATGACTAAGAAGTGACACGTAATGACCACAGAGCAACACTAAATGTCTCCAAAGATACACTTAATTAGACAAAATATCAACAAAGACACATAATGTGATCACAAAGAGACATGAAACTACTATCAAATTAAACAAAATGACCACAGAGACCCAAAAGGACTAAGAAGTGACACTTAGTGCAAATCAATCAACACTACATTTCAACAAAGATACACAAAACTGCACCAAATAACTACAGAGACATGTGACCACAAAGAGACATGAAAATGACTATCAAATTAAACAAAATAACTTTGAAAGAAAAACCTATACATTCTACCTGTCTTGCAACTCCGTAAAATGATGGGGCCTGTTGCATATCTGCACCCCAGGGCCCACTGTCTCATAATCCACACGTCATTTGATCTGGTCTAAATAAACCTAGTTATTTTTGAATGGCACATTGGAGAATACCTCCACTGACAAAACGGACTTTTTTGATTAAATGTGTTATGCCAACAGATTTCACATAACTGTATTAGGTTAGTTGAAAGCAATGATATCAAGTTTAAATATACAGGCTCAACTTAATTGTATTGCTTTCAACCAACCTAATTGAGTCAAGTTTCAGTTTTTTCAGTGTACACAATCCTGTCATACTTTATTGTGAATTTATTGCTCATTTAAACTGAGACCAAACTTGGCTGCCTGTTTGACATCATCCTCCATCAGCTGCTCACCCTGAGAGCTATAAAAACATGGAAACAACAAATAAATCCTACCATGTCAGAGTACCTCCAGATGTTCCCTCCTTCATCGGTCAGTGTATATGTATCAGTGTCAGAGGTTCTGGTTCAGTTCGCTGCTGATCCCGTCCTGAAGCTCCAGTGTTTGCTTTCTAATCCCTCGGACCGGCGCCCACATTGCAGCAGCATCATAATGGGATTATGGTGTAATCCAGTCACTTCCCCTCCGCTACAGAACCAGAGGGCAACGTCCACACGCTCTCAAACACTGAGCCTTTCTTATGAATCACAGAGGGGCATTCTCTGCACACTCTGCATATTAAGAAGGCGGCTCAGGTCAGCTTGTGACTCTTTGTTACTCTGTTGTGACGGCTGATGGGTACAGTGTAGTTATGCCGATGAAGATCTTAGGTCACAGGCTTCTCCAACAATTTACTGTCAATGAGTGAGAGTTATCACGGCCTAAGTATCCTTAGAACATTGGTATTACAACTAAATATGATGTCTAATTATATCTTGTGGTGTGTTATATACACTTATTGTTTTCTTTTGGATTTTTGTCTACTGATTGTTTGATATTTCTTCTTTTATTTAGTTAAGTAAATTATGTTTATTTGTTATCTTTGGAAGGAAGACCCTTTGCTTCTTGGCCTCTCATGTCAGGTTTCTACATTTTTCTTATGTGGGTGCAAATAAAAACATAAAATTAGATGAAATAATTAAAAATAAATCAATAAAACATAGAATATATTGGTGTGTAGCGCTAAATAGACATTGTTGGTAGTATAACCTTGGTAAGATCTCCAAAACACACACCATATCTCCAAAAATATGTGGACCTTTAAACATTACACCCTTACATGTTAAACGTGTCATTTCTCAACAATGGGCATTTGTCTGTAACTGTAACAGCCTCCACTCTTCTGGAAAGGATTACTACAAGATTTTGGCTTTAGGAATGTTCTCCTATTGAGGCACAAGAGCATTAGGGAAGGCATGCACTGATGCTGGGTGAGACTCACAATCAGCGTGTCAGTGTTTCTCAAACAAGGTGTTGGTTGTATTTGGGTGGGCGAAAAGACTTCCCGAAACTCATAATTGCATCATCATCATCTTATCCCTCTTATTTTAAAACCACATAAATGATATTGAAATAGCTTTCTCCCATCTCCACCTGCAGATTATCTCCTCACTCATCCTTATTGTTTTACCGGATAAGAGGGTGTAGTTTGTGGATCTTGTCACTAGATGGCGATAATGTGGCGGTTTGATGGTTTCTGTACAGTTTTACAGCACATATATAAAAGTGATGATGGGAAAAAAAGGGTGTGCTTGGTGCTTGGTTAACCCTCCTGTTGTCTTCGGGTCAAATCTGACCGATTTACTACTTTGCATTAAGGCTTTATGATATCCTTCAGAGTAGACATTTGAACATATACAATTGCTGATCACCACTTTCATTGCATTTTGGATGATTTAGTCAACTTTGTAACACCCATGGTGTTCCCGGACCGCCATAAAGAAAAGGAATTAGTAACCATCCGGATCAGATAAAACACACACACACACACACACACACACACACACACACACACACACACACACACACACACACACACACACACACACACACACACACACACACACATGTCATGTTCTTAAACGTTGTATGTGAGGGACTACGGATGGAAACTAGCTCAAAGCTCAAATCCGGCATGTTTACGTTTTTAAAGCATTATTTGTTTTAAATGTTCATCAATGTGCACTGTCCCTCGTCAAATAAACGATTAAATGAAAGTAAAAAACACACACACACACACACACACACACACACACACACACACACACACACACACACACACACACACACACACACACATATACACTAGATGTGTTTTTATGTGCCCATCCCCCCACATGGATCACACCTGGCACACGCAATACATGTTCAGTGTCTATTCTTTGTATATTTACTGCAGTTGTTCATGTATACCAGTAGTCTGATACAATATTTACAGTTTGAAAGGGTGTTAAAGGAAATGTGGTGATGATTAATGGTTGTTGTGTTAATGTAATAGCAGTTAAAACAGGACCTTTGACCGAGAACACCAAAGTAAGGGGGGGAAACGAACACAACAGGAGGGTTAATAAGGTATTCACTTGACTTAAATGTCCTGAGATTAACCATTATGTTATGATATCTGAGGAACTAAGAAAAGGACTAAATTGATATACTCAATAAATCAACGCAACTGTGTTTTATTTTTGGATATTTTCTAATTGAGTTTTTATTTCATATTATCCTGTAGATATTCTCCTAACTAAACTTTTTAAAACTCATATCTGTTGAGTGAAAAATATCAGTACATACTTTTCAGATCACAATCTGTCTTCATACAATGTGTTCAGCCTCTTAAACATGTTACATACAGTGTAAAGACGAGTTATAATACTTGTGTTTTACATTAGTCTATTTTATTGATGTTGAATATTAAAAAGGAATACGACTTGATAAAACCCCTTTTATACATGCAATACTTAAATATGTGTATTCAGAGTTTGCTGGGCAGCATAACATTTTAATCTTAAGTGTGGTAGCCGGCAGTGGCTCAGTCAGTAGGGGCTTGGACTGGGAGCTGTAGGGTCACCGGTTCAAGTCGGTTCAAGTCCCCGACCAGACCTAAAATATGGAGTGTGGACTGCTACTTGGAGAGGTCCCAGTTCACCTCCTGCCCTGCCGTGGTGCCCTTGAGCAAGGCACTGGACACCCCCCTTCCCCCCTCACTCCCATTGCTCCCCGGGCGCTGTACAATAGCTGCCCACTGCTCCTAGTACTAGACTCCTGGTGCTAGGATGGGTTAAAAGCAGAGAACACATGTCACTGTGTGTGCTGTGTGCTCTGCATGTGTGACCATTAAAGAGGGTTTCATCCCTCCCAATTCTATCTATTCTATAGTAAGTACACAGAAACACTTCTATGAACCAACTAATGAGACAGACATATCTGACATACATAACATGCAGTCGACTTGTTTACAGCACTGCAGGGTCATCTAGTGGCTGACAGAAAAAACTGCAACATTTCAACAACGAAAAACAAAAATTACCTGTGAGTTATTTTTGTAGACAAGCTGCATACTATATGCATCAAACTTAATCACTCTGATTGATCCTCCTTTAAATCTGATCCTTATGATGCAATCGCTCTCTTTCCTCGTTCAATAGAGAGTGGAAATCAACCTGAGTTCAGTGTACCAGCTGTAACTCTTCACTCTTCTATAAAACAGGTTTAGTAGGCTACTGGATAATGCTTGGTTGATTATGATAATAATAACAAAGCTAATGCATTAGCACATCCTGCAGACATGGATCAACCTTCACTCATGTTATCTGTCTGGATGTACTGCTAACTTCATCTATCTTTGGTACTGGAGAGTTAGCAACCAGTGGAGCTATCAGAGCTTTTCACTGAAAATAGCAGCCTCCTGTGGCTGGGGATGGAGTTAATAAGACCAGTGAGACTGATCAAAGAAGCAGGCCATAAAACCAAATGAAAGATGCTTAAATGCTTTAGAGACGAGGGAGACTGATGATAATTATCTGTGGGTCAACCTATCACACTTCGTAGGCCTATAGTCATTGAATTCAGAGATAATAATGTTGATTAGTTAAGCTGAAATATACTGTAGATACAAAGATTGTGTACCAAGATAGACACAAGGCAAGAGAAAATATTTAAAACAAATGTAATAGTTGAAATTGGCCATTCAATAAATACAGAATGTGCTTAAATCCTTAATAGACAATGATAATCACTTGCACATGTGCTATTCGTTATCATATACGTGTATTAATAATTAATTGTGGTATTATAGTCCTTTATTTCCCGGTACAGCTGTCAAACTGGGGCCCTCCCAGCAGCAGAAAACTGACCAATCAGAGTAAACTTTCTTTGCTTCTCTGACCAATTCGAGCCTTTTAAATGGAGCCGGAAAAGGCAAAGTGGTCCTTTTTGACCCCACCCACAACATCAGAGAAATATGAGAATGTATCGCCCACGCGTTTTTATGGCTTCACGTGTTGACCATGGCTATTGAGTGTAAACCACTAAATTGGCTTTATCATTCTTCCATATATTCACTATGCTTCAGATATCTCAAATAAGCCGGTTAGCTGTCTACAGATTGCCTGTTTTCGATTTCAAAGGGATCCTTGACCAAACTGCTTTCACAAATTGGCTATTTTAGTTTTTCTGAGTTTTTGCGAATATACACAATTTGTTTTGTTGTGGTTTAAAACCGTATTATGAATCATTAGTAACCATTTTTCTGTTCGGCAGATGTTAAATGTTTAAAACACTATTACATTTGTGTGAAATTGTAACTTTAACAACTGAGACTAGGGGTGTTTTCTATTTGAAGATGCACAGACAAGAGCGGTTGAAGAACACTGGGAGCCGTGTCATAAATGTGCCATAATATTGCTTTAAATTGTTTTTTGTCCATTTTAATTAAAGCCGAATGAAAAGGGGAATGCCAACGAATAACAATACCTATGAGTCATCCATTGTGACTCATGTATGTCGATCGAAAAGCACATGTAATGTTAAATCCCCTCTTTTGTGAATGGAGTACGTCACTGAGATGAGCTAGACTGACTCTCATCTCTTCCCCCAGGAGGCTCTGCTTCCCAGCCCCTTTGTTCAGTGTAGCCGGTGGGTTGAGTCACAAGGAGGCTGTGCTAACAGGGGAACACAGACAAGAGTGGGAAGAGGCCGAAAAAATAGCTAATATTATCCGGGAATGCAGACTTCAACGCGTTTTTAATAAAAGCCACACAACAGAAAAGTTGTTTTTGGGTGTTGCTGATGCTGCGTTTCTATTCGGGTCTTGCATATCAGTGTTCGGATACCAAAACCAGCGAAACCCGTCGATAATTTTTTGCGCTTTTACCTATGCTTCTGGGTGGGAAATGAGCCGATATTGCTAAGCCATCACCGGTATATTGCTGACACCATCATCCACGCTGACTCTCCCTTTCAGTTTCTGCTCAGCATCCATATTTGCATCCCAGGGAGTGGCTGCCACTAATCCCCCTCTCCTGGTGAGAAAATTGAAAGTTGGCCGGCTGTCGGACACCCCCTTTGGACACTGTAATTTCCACATAAAGAGGTGAGTGTTTTAATGCCATAATGTGCTTTTATGTTGTTGTTTTTTTGCATGGGAGGGTTTGATGTGAAGGGCAGTCTGGACCACGTTGCCGCAGTAGCTACAACAATGGATCAAACTGGCGTTGTGTTACATTTTGTGGAGGTGCGCATTGTCATCCCGATGCTTTCATGCTGTTTTCACCCACATCAGGTGTGGATTTGAGATTTAATCCAGGCCTACATGAAGAATAGCTTCGTTTATATAAAGAAACACCAGTCGTCACTCAAGGGCCTTTTATTATTAGACTTATCTTTCAACAAAACCATCATTCTCAATAGGTTTAACAGGATTGATTGCTCTCAAAATTAAATCCATGTTAATATGTAGGTATTACATATGGAAAATTATTAAATCCCTTAAATCTGCTCTTCCCTTTCTTTCCTGTTGTGCAGTTTAAAGCCTCAGCCAGATGTGTGTTGTTTATTGTAGGCTATAATAGCATTATATCTTCCTAATGGCCTTTGAGCCTTGATTTGTAGGCCATGCTCCACTTGGGCGCCAGCCTACACCCACTCTCAGGCTTATTATTAAATTGATAAGTTGACCATGAAAGAATGTGAGAATAAATGAGGTGTTGTTAATAATGATGGATTTACTGGGACACATGTAATGATGATCACACTTATTAAGGGCCCCTAATGCTACAGCTGGATTTCCAGATGTTAAGATAAGAGATAAAGTACTATCTTATCTCTTATCTTAAATAAGTAACCTGGATATAGATGAAACTGGTCAAAAATAACCTCAACATAGGTGAATATAACTACAACAAAGACAAAACTGAACTTCAAACGTAGAGCTTTTCGTAGTGGTAGTACTATTTTGAAACCGAGCCCATATCTCATTAGTTTCTACCTTTTTGGTTTGCTGTAATGAGCAGCCAACGACACAAATGTAGCCAGAAATAAACCCACGGTGCTTGGATACTTTTGACTCAGTGTTTTACCAGTGAAGCCCTTGAAGTTATTGGTGCCAATAGAGCTTGTTATGGTGGAAAAAACCAGACTGCAAAAGGTAAACAGATCCCAAAAGGATTTGTTGATGTTGTGTCTTTATATTTGAGAGTAAAGTAGGATTAAAGAACAGAAATGTAAATGTAAATAAATTATGTTAGAGTCTCACCAGAGGGCCAATTTGACTTCTAACATCAGCGGTTACCAACATTGCTGACTCTTGGTTATGGTTTATTTGGGATTGGAGTAGTTCAGCAAACCGAAATAGTGATCTTCTCTTCTTAGATTGTTTTATTTAAAGGATTTCAAAAGCCTGACAAGGAAGAAGTACTACATGTATCACAAGAAAAAAGGGATGAAATGAGAATACATGTCGAACATATATCACCTTTTGATGATCCCTCAGATGTATCTAGTAACCCTTAAGTGGCCCCCTCCACAAATGTAGAATATCAAGTCATTATATACGATTGGAAATTGCAAATATTTAGAAAAAATACCTTTGTGTTGTTCTACTGAAAACAACAAACAGCTAGAGATTGTGAGTGTACTGTAATATTTTTCCTGATCTACTTAGTGCTACAGCCAGCCATTATTTTCATTATTGATTCATCTGCCAATCGTTTGACCTATAAAATACCAGAAAATAGTGAGAAAGTTCCATCCCAGTCTTTAAAGTCCAAGGTAATGTCTTTTAATGTCTTGGTTTGTTCATCTAGAACCCAAAGATATTCAGATTGAAATGATATAAAACAGAGAAATGCATGAAATATTGATATCTGAGAGGCTGGAAACAGCATCTCCTGATTTTTGCATGAAAACCTTTTATTAATGATCAAATAAGTTATCAACCTACTACTCGTTGCAGCTCTATTTTAACATTTGGCTCCATTTATACAGGTTTTGAGACTTGGTCACCCATTAGCATGCATCTTTTAACCTCCCCTATCATTCTGCTTATTTACCTGTTATTTCTTTATATTTATGAATGTATTATTATCCCTGTAAAGTATTGAGCGACAAACCAACCCACAATATTGGTTTGGGTCTCTTTGAGTCTCTTTGGGTCTCTATAGGTCTCTTTGGGTCTCTATGGGTCTCTATGGGTCTCTTTGGTTCTCTTTGGGTCTCTATAGGTCTCTATGGGTCTCTATGGGTCTCTTTGGGTCTCTTTGGGTCTCTATGGGTCTCTTTGGTTCTCTATGGGTCTCTTTGGTTCTCTATGGGTCTCTTTGGGTCTCTTTGGGTCTCTTTGGTTCTCTTTGGTTCTCTTTGGGTTTCTCTTTGGGTCTCTTTGGGTCTCTTTGGGTCTCTTTGGTTCTCTTTGGGTCTATTTGGGTCTCTTTGGTTCTCTTTGGTTCTCTATGGGTCTCTTTGGGTCTCTTTGGGTCTCTTTGGGTCTCTATGGGTCTCTTTGGGTCTCTTTGGGTCTCTTTGGTTCTCTTTGGGTCTCTATAGGTCTCTTTGGGTCTCTTTGGGTCTCTTTTGTTCTCTTTGGGTCTCTATAGGTCTCTTTGGTTCTCTTTGGTTCTCTTTGGTTCTCTTTGGGTCTCTTTGGGTCTCTTTGGTTCTCTTTGGGTCTCTTTGGTTCTCTTTGGTTCTCTTTGGGTCTCTTTGGGTCTCTATGGGTCTCTTTGGTTCTCTTTGGTTCTCTATGGGTCTCTTTGGGTCTCTTTGGTTCTCTATGGGTCTCTTTGGGTCTCTTTGGTTCTCTATGGCTCTCTTTGGTTCTCTTTGGTTCTTTTGGGTCTCTTTGGTTCTCTTTGGGTCTCTTTGGTTCTCTATGGGTCTCTTTGGGTCTCTTTGGGTCTATTTGGGTCTCTTTGGTTCTCTATGGGTCTCTTTGGTTCTTAAAAAAAAAAAAAAAAAAAATTGCTCTTATTGTCATTTCATAGTACAGGTACTATGTAACGAAATTGTTCCTCTGCATTTGACCCATCCTAGTGTTAGGAGCAGTGTGCTGCCGTGGACGGCGCCCGGGGAGCAGTGTAGGGAACGGTGCCTTGCTCAGGGACACCTCGGTAGCACTTGGTCTTGCTGGGACTCGAACTGGTGACCTTCCAGTTGCCAAGCCAAGTCCCTATCGACTTCGCCACCACCGCCCCGTCTCTTTGGGTCTCTATGGGTCTCTTTGGTTCTCTATGGGTCTCTTTGGTTCTCTTTGGTTCTCTTTGGCTATCTTTGGGTCTCTATGGGTCTCTTTGGGTCTCTTTGGGTCTCTTTGGGTCTCTTTGGGTCTCTATGGTTCTCTTTGGGTTGACAATAATAACGATATACCTCAACTTTATAATACGAATGCAGCTCAAAGTGCTTTACATAGCTAGATCAAAACACAACATATCTTTCTGCATGACAGACAGATTATAACAATACCCCCTCCCTAAATCCTTCTCGTTTCTTTCTATTTATGTCTGCTTATTGTCCCCCCAGCTAACCATGGAGAGCGACAGCCCCCAGTCCCTCATCTAGTGCCCGCTGTACCGCCTTCCTCCCTGGGGAGCCGCTCTCAGGTCCTCCCTCTCCTGCAGAATGAACATGTTGAAGTCCAGCGGGCTGAAGATCCCTGGCCGGGGGCCCAAACACTCCAGCCCCTCACCGGGGGGGCCAGGAAGAACCTCCAGCCCCGTGCCGCCGAAAGACAGTAAGTCACTTCCTGTTTCTGACCCCTGGGAAAAAAATGGGAATTTCGTGTTTTTTTTAAAAAGCCGCTCGGAGGGTTTGTTTGTTTTATGACTCAGAGGAGCACAGCTGCATTCGATTACACGCACAGAAGCTGCTCTCTTTAACTTCCTCTGCCAGGGTACTGTCTAATCTACAAAATGCTGTAAGCTTTCAGCCGTTTGAAAGGTGCCATGCTGTCTCCATTTAAAATACTGTATATTTAAATAAAAACCAGTGTATTTATATACTCATCGAGAGGCTTTGGACCCAGACTTCGTCCAACTTGGCCGGGGTTTGAATAAATGCTTCTGTGGTGATAATTATTTTCATACTCCGTGGTTTTATACAGTTTGTGTCGTGATTTTTCATTTTTACGGCTCCACTAATCCTGTTTTAAAATACTACAAATGGATTATATGAATAACGTGGAATGTAGCAGGCGTTATAAAACAAAGTATATCTTAGTTTCCTTTTGGTTTCACGGCGGTTTCAGAGGAAAAGCTCACATGTTACATACCACTAAACATAAGAGTGAATATTTCTATATATTTATTCTTATATTCTTCAGGTGGACAGGAAAGCGACTCTAAAGCTAATGCTGCTCTGCATCTGTTGGATTTGCAATAAACAACAACACATAGGAAACTTTAGTGGATGATTTAGTGCTTGTTATCAGACTAATGTATTTGTACATCCAGATAGCACCTTTTATGTATCAGGGAAGAATGCATTTTGTTATTTGCAGTAAAAGGTTTTTTTTCATCAAGCCGTTCGTTAAGGGAAATATGTTTTATTTCCCACAGCACTAAAATCAAGCACTTTTCTCCCTTCGATAGGATAATACTAAAATAAACAACAATAGTTATAATTTGCAAGACAAATACAAATGTTGAAATACATAAAAATGTTTAAAAAAAAAGGGCCCGTGTCATGCTTTTCTGGTTATTACCCGTCCCCTTGTGTGCTATGAAGGTTTTTCTGCATGTGAACGGTCTGCAGAGTCACAAACCCTCAAAGTACACCCTGTAGCGAGTAAAACTCTAACACAGAAAAGACCTGTCTATGCTGCCCCAGAACACCTCGTTGGACATTTCTCATTTTCCATTTGTTTCTTCCGGGAACCGCATGACGTCATGCGGTTCCCGGAAGAAACAAATGGACCAATCCACGGAGCACCTCACACACCAGGATCCCTTGGCTAACTAACAGGGAGTCCCCATTGACTTGCATAGAGCTCCCTGAACGCTGGTAATAGACGAGTTGGGATGGTGGAGAAATGCTCTCCGCAGACCCATTCTCACAGCGTTATAAACCTTTTTCTTACTCAATATCAAGCCACACTTATTGTTTCTACTTCGGCTGTGAGTGTTTGTGTGTGCTCAGGATGAGTTTCGCGCTGTCTCGCTGTATCGCCGACCCGGAAACCACACCAGTAAGCCAGCTCCTGACCAATCAGAGCACACTGGGCTCACAGGGAGGGGGGGGCAGGAGCTCCAACAAGCCGTTTAGGACAGAGAGTGAATACACATACTATACAGAGATGCTGTATGAGAAACCAATGTGAGTTTGGAACATTGCACAATTTAAATCTCTTCTAGTAGACCTCAACAATGGAAATATGATCAGTAGAAATGGCCATGACATGGGACCTTTAAAGGAAAAAAGTACAAAAAATTAAAAGTGTTGAAATAAATAAAATCAATAAAAAATGTATACAAATAAATAAGGGATACAAAATAATTATATAAAATTAAGAAATAAATATAAAATAAATAATGCTATAACATTATACCAGATTAAAGAATCATCCTTAATCAGAAATCCCAAATAAAAAGGTGAAATGTAGCAACGAGGCTTATGCACAACGTCAACCTTAGAGCAACTGAACTACTTACCAAAATTAGACTTCCCTGAAATCGCCCTGAATCAGAATTACAGCCTGCCTGCAGAAGGTAATCACAGCTGTTCTCTGTGTTTATCCTCCCTGCCTTCAGCTCACATGACAGCCCCCTCACACCAGCTCCACACACACATGTTAGTTGAGTTTCTGCTAAATTACTGCTCCACTCTCAGTCACACAACAGAGGAACAGCACGCCTGCTCTGGCTGCTATACGTGTGTTTCTCGTTAGCCTCATTGTGTGTGAGAGGCTGTTATCAGACGCAGCTAACAGTGAGTCATGGTCCATGTTCACTGTGGAATTTCATGAGAGCCAGGGAAGTTGTTCCCACACAGGAAGTGTTTTATTGACTGATTCATGCACTGTTTATAATTAGTGCGCTGTCAGCGATGTAAGATGTTAACGGTTTGTCTTGTTTTTTTCTATCAAAAAAGCCAATTATAAGTTGGATATAACTTCTATCCCACGGCAGATCATAATGTTCATGTGTTTTATTTTAGATTTAGATACATTTAATTGATTCTGCATGTCTATTAAACAAGTACAAGCACATATATAAACCAAGAGTAACAGAAAAACGGAACAATCAACTTATAGCAAACCTTTAACATATCTAAACCATTAGAAAATAAATATATATCTATAGATATTGCGATTAAATTGTGAAGTCTGATATTGTACCTTAGCTTGGATGTATTGAAAAAATCATGAAGTATAAATACTTGTCAAAAGTCAAACTCAAGTCTCAAAACATTGGTGATATCTGTTAATAAGAGAGAGCTTTTTGAGTAATCTAAACACATCTTAAATCATAAGAAGCATATTATTTCCCTTGTTTTTTAAATGGCATGTATTTGCATTTTGAAAGAGAGTTACCAAAAATAGCTTTCTTGTGTCTGTTTAACTATGTTTGTTTGTGTCTGTCTCTGTGGAAGGCAGAACATCTGGAGTCGTATCTACAATGTTTCTGACCTTATCACGAACATTAGCTCACGATGTTAATCCCTTAACGTAGCATTTTAGCAGCTGTTAGCTTGCTATGCTAACGTGACTGCTGTCTGCTGTCTAAACACGCGTGAACTCATTAGCTTGCTCACACCCTGTTTATCCACAATGAAAATACACAATCATGGTGCACAAAGAGCAGCTTTCATCTCACTATACTGTGCATGTAGTTTCAACATTTAAAATATGTATAATAATATCCTTTACACCATCAGGGTGTTAGACCAATGAGATTCACATTACAGATGATTCTCTTAAGACTAAGGACAATGTTTTTCGAGACATCAATCTGATTTAAAGGGGCCCTATTACGCTCATTTTCAGGTTCATATTTGTACTTTGTGCCCCTACTGTGACATGTTTCCACGCTTATTAACACTGATAAGAGTTTGCTGCCTCAGTGGTTCGATGGAGGGATTAGTTTCGACACTGACCTGGCCTCTTACTCCAAATCTCAGCCTCCTGTTAGTTGGCTTTAGTTGGAGATTGTGATAAAGGGCCTCTGTGTCGGGAGTTGGCAGACTTTACTTTGCTGCAGTTTAAGAATTGTTCCTCCTCCAGGAGAAGCTGTGGGCAATCTGTGAAAACAGGAGAGGATCGGAGCCTTTCTCTATCTGCCTTTTATGTGAAATGAACTGAGCTGTGCCTCCAACGTGTCTCCAGTGACCTTGGAAGAACCAAAATATCTCAGTCACAGGAGTAGAAAGTTGCATTTTTGGAGACACAGGGTGTCCGCGGGGTCTTAAAAAGTATTAAAAGTTGATAAATCAATTTAGCGAAAATGAAGGCTATTAAAAAGTATTAAACGGCATTTTCCAAGGTATTACATTTTGTAGCTTGTTTCCAATAAGTATATAAATTGTCCAAAGAGGTTGTATTCTACAGTGTGCCTGAATGTAATCATTGCGTAGGTGTGTAGTGTGATTCTGTGTAGTTTATTTATGGCATCCCGTTGGGTTTGACGTCATCTGAACAGGACATCGCGCGCTCTGCTTGATAGCGCGCGAAGGTCCGTTTACGCCGGTTGTTAAAAAACATCGTTATGGGGAAATGCAAGTCTGCGTCCAAATGGTTGGAAGATAAGGAGGAAGGACAATCAATACTGTATATAGTCAATGTGAGGTAAAGTGTGTCGCCAATGTAACCGGTTAGAACTCCAAGTGGCGATGAGGTCTTAAAATGTATGGAAAGGGTCCAAAGTTCCAAAAATACTTAAAAGTTCCAAAAATACCGTTAAAGTTCCAAAAATACCGTAAATTCCAAAAATACTTAAAGTTCCAAAAATACTTAAAGATCCAAAAATACCCTAAATTCCAAAAATACTTAAAGTTCCAAAAATACTTAAAGATCCAAAAATACTTAAAGATCCAAAAATACCCTAAATTCCAAAAATACTTAAAAGTTCCAAAAATACTTAAAGTTCCAAATATACTTAAAGTTCCAAAAATACTTAAAGATCCAAAAATACTTAAAGTTCCAAAAATACCCTAAATTCCAAAAATACTTAAAGTTCCAAAAATACTTAAAGTTCCAAAAATACTGTAAATTCCAAAAATACTTAAAGTTCCAAAAATACCGCAAATGGTTGGAAGATAAGGAGGAAGGACAATCAATACTGTATATAGTAAATGTGAGGTAAAGTGTGTCGCCAAGGTAACCGGTTAAAACTCCAAGTGGCGATGAGGTCTTAAAATGTATGGAAAGGGTCTTAAAAAAGGTCTTAAAAGGTTTTACATCTGACTTCAGGATTCCTGCATGTACCCTGAGACAAAAGGATCAGACATCTGCACTCACTGCACCCAAAATACTAATTCCTCTAATTCCTTTTGATTGCTTGTCATTTATGCCTCAATTCTGCATTATGTTGAACTTCCTAATGGTAGTGCAACAAGCTATAAGCACATCAATGGCATTGTAACCCCTTATCTATATGTAATGTGTCAGCAAGGAGTGATCTCTAAAAGAAAATGCCTCTTTTAGCTTGAAACAGTAAAGTTGCATCCATAAAACTAAATCAAATGATCTTAAAGACTCCTAAAACCCTCCCTGTGCTGAGTGGAGCTGTGGGGTTGAGT